AAATGTGATCCAACATAAGTTGAATCACTCACAATTATTTTTATATTGTAAATAATGTGTTCCTGTAAAGAAATTGAAAATAAATTTAATTGATTTTTTATTTCTCGTTTTCTATGATAAACGAATGATCAAACTTAGTTAAATCTTGACTTACATCCTCAATGGATTCTTTACTTTACAGACTGATGAAATGCTTTGAAAGAAATTTATATACTGAATGTTAGTCTGTGCGATGAACTATGAATCTGAGCTGGAGTTCGAGTTCTGCTGCATGGCGATTCATTACGAAGTTTTGTAAAAGACCATCCAAGATGCAACTATTCTCGGCTTTGATATTAGAACTTTTTCCGTTTAATCTATTCACTGAACTCTCAATTCGACATAACTCTTTTGATATACTCAATTATTGTGCACTATTATCTTCTCTATAACTAGTAGTTTAGATGAGATACGAGAAGATCATATAATGTAAAAATATCGTTAACAATGGATGAGGCAAATATGTCGCAGAGAAAAACGTAGTAAGAAAAATAACAAGGTAAACACCTGAAGACAGGAGAATTTATAAAAACATAATATAGTTAGTAGTTTGCATATTCATTTTGTTCTCTTTTTTTTCATACATTTAATAGTTTTGAATAAACGAGAATCAATAAAAGTAGTCCCATTTGTAATTTTTTATTCCTTGAAAGATAAGTATCTTGAGAAGATACTCGAAATTATCTTTCGCACAAGGAGACATAAATTTAAAAGGTAAGCGTTTATGCCTTGTTGTCTAAACTAATGATGAATAGTGTTAGGTGAAGGACTTTTTGGCGTCTTATGAGTATCTGAGACATTTCTTGTAATTGCAACTTGAAGTCGAGAAAGAGCAAAAATATCTTCTATTACCGCACACTGTTGATCTCTATATCAATTGACATTGATATATTGATGAACATTTGTGCTTTATACAAGATATAAAAATAAATATTACTATGAATATAAATTCCGGCTCAAAAACATCTACAATAATTTTCGATTTTATAATTACAGAGAAAAAAGAAAATATTTCTCATTTAAGTATGAAGCTACTCTAGTGACCATATGTACTGTTAAGATTCACGACTACTTCTCTTTAAAGAAAAATTAATCGTCAAAATAACAAGAGAAAACATAAAAGCTATATTCATCCATCATATTTCTGTTGATTCAAAATATGAAGAGATTTTACATTTTGATATTTACTATGTTGTTACAAATTTTATGTAAATTTTATGATTAACATATTGTATAATACTAAAACAAGATAAACTCGAACAAATGTTTGTAACTCTTTTTTTTTCTATTCTGTGCACTGTCACTTGATACAAATGTTAATATTTTGTGTAATGATTCTCGTTTGATTAAAAGATTTGTGTCTAACAGGTAGTAAATTCAAAATTCAGAATAGACACCAGTAGCTGATAAATATTGAAAGTAAGAGTTAGAGTGAAGAAGATGATTTCATTTCCTAAAGAGATGAATTTAAAGTTGTTGCATGTCTAAGTTTAACTGTTTTACAGATGAAATCATTACTGTCACAAATATCTCTCTGATCCTCTCATGAATCTTTCGTATTTCCAATGCTCTTCTTATATGACAGTACTAGAATCACCACAATTAGTCTGTTCAACGTACAGAACAGATCAAAAAAGAAGAATGAAATGCATAAAAAAATATTTTCTCTAAATAATTTTCTAAGCAAGAAAGAAATATTTATTCAAATGATAATTCAATCATAAGTAAGAAAACAATAATCTTATGGTCAGTTCGTATTTGTCTTTTTTTTAACAGTTACTATCGTTTATTTGGAAAAAAAATGAATAATTATTTTCTTAAAAATTCGCACTAGATACAGCTGTTAAATTCGAGTTTATTTTGCTGAAAATAGACTTTCATTGCACTGATTCATCCACAATTGGTCATATTCATTTTATCAATCAGTAATCACATATGACCTTCTATGAAAAGTAGACTGGTGAACTGTTAAGATAAAACAAACTCTTATTTTTTTTAAAGAATGACACACTAGAATCATAGATCGACGATTTTCAAATCTATGTAACATCAAAGTGTTATTATAATTCACTGAAATTTATCAATATAATACTGACAACATCAGAACAAGTTCTTGAAAATTTCGATGCACATTTAAAACATATAAGAATTCGTTTCTTCTTCATAGAATCATAGTCTATGAGCAGTTTTGTATAGATTGATGCCATGAAAAGCTTTTCCTTAATGCTACGTACCTAATCTCAATAGCTGATTGTGATGTGAAACTATTTGAAAAATAATTATTCAGTTCTTATTTTTATTTGAAAAGGACATTCATTTATTGAACAGATTTCAACAAATAGTGCCATGCCATAATGAAACAAAAGTTGTTTGAATATTTTGATTGTTTGACGTACGTTATTATTAGTTGTTGTCATTTTGTAGTTTGTTTATTATTTTCCGTCAAGAAATAGACAAGATAAATGATTCAACAAGAACATTAACCATTCAAATGGCATCAACAGATTGTCAAGACTTGCCATGTCTCTTCTTCAATATTTTCTCTTTCTTTTTCTTCTATTCAGATGCAGTTTCATGATTAATTTATTATTAATAAATATATCTTTGCAAAATTCAATCATACTATCGTTTTTTATTAGGAAAAAAACATAAACTTCTGCTACGTTAAATACTAGTGATTTATGTGACATGGAAAATATATAATGAGTCATTAAAAAAGATTCATCATATATATCAATATCATGAGCTGAAATGTTTGTTTACCTTATTATTTTGTTACATACCAATGAAAACGCATGTTTCGTCGTATCGAATTAAAGTTTAATTATTCTTTGCTTTTGAAAAATAAAATAATCTGAAAGAACTTTTTCAGCTTACATTTGCAAATTGAGAAAAACACGATTACGATCGACACTGTATCTCATGATACTCAGTTTGCTAATGAAATATGATTCTTGGTATTAATGATGCTTATATTTTTCAAAAATTTATATCATTTATTTACCATACATAGAAATAGGGTATAAAGAATTAATGATAATATGTCAAGGCTTCGAATCAAATGGAATTGGATGTAAAAAGCGTCTGATGACATTTGAAGATTGTTGCATGTTATGCCAAGGTCTCATCAGATGGCTCGTCTAGTGAAAAGATTTATTTTATCCTTGATTCAGCTTTCGTGAATTTCGTATTCAATTATCTCGATTAACTTCTGTTTGTTCACGTTTCAATCGGCTTATTTAACGTTGAGTTTTTTTGATACTAATCATATAAGTCTTATTATTTCATGAATAAAATTGTCTATCTAAGATTTGAGGATCTTGGCAAACTTCGATAAACATGACAGTAAATTCAGAAAAATCTATTGAGACTCATTTTAATTTAGAAGACTCTATCAGGATCTATGATTCCATTTATCTCGTAGACAATTTCAATCATATATCTCGAAGCATTAGAATGTAATAATGCTTATTATTTCAAAACATTTTTCATTCATGAGTTATCATCTTGTGATAACCCTATCTAGCTTGTCTAGATTGCTAAAGGCTAGTAAAGATCCTTTTTTAAATCTAGTTCTATTTAATGCATTTCTTCAGATCATTTGTGTTGTCTGGTGAATTTTTTTAATTATTGAGATTTAACAGAATTTATTAGGATTTTCTCTGTATGCATTAGTTTTGTTCGAACTGAAGCTTATAAAATTTATGCTGAAAATTAATTTGAAAGAAAAACTAGTAAACCTTCCTTATCAAAAGAGCTTGTTATCAACATTATCAACAGCTATAGTGAAAAAACTATTAAAAAATGGGAACAAGCTAAAAGCATACAGAGGTCTATCGAATTAATTTAACGTGATTTTTCTTTTTTAAATATTTGTGAAAATATTAAATATTTTTTCATCGAAGATGACGTAAAAGACAATAATTAATGAAATTGTTTTTGATGAAGCAAAATACCAACAATGAAAGTAAAATAAAATAAAATTTGAATTTTTTCAGAAGGAAAAAAATCCGTTGAGACGTGAAGTTCGCTTCTTAGAAATTCCATTGGATATTAAATAAAAACAACTCATCTAAAAAAATGAGATAAAATTGTTCGTCTCATGTTATTTCGATTTCTCTTATATTCTATTTTTCGAATACAAACTATATATTGTTTAGTAGCATTTGTTTATTAATAAGTTCACATCAGTTACGTCCATAAACATAGGCTACATAGTTAATTATCATGGCAGATTTGTTGTTATCTCAACGGAATACCAAATTGATGAGGAATAAAAAGACGAATGATGATTGTTTTTATCTATTTTTTTCGTATATAAGGTAGAATAGTACAGAGCTATATCTCTGTTCTTTTTTACGGATACCTTCAAAAAAATATATTTCTTTTGTCAATATTTAACTGGTTTTATTTCACCGCTCTCTATAGAGATACAATAGCAGATGAGAGAAAAAAAATTGAAAAAAAAAACAGCACACTAGTCTACGAAAGACAGTAAAGCATTCATTTCTATTAATATAAATTAAATAATCGTTAAACAGATAATTTGTATAAAACATCTGTGATTTTCATACATACAAAGACAAACCCATTTGATTTTGAGTTTACATGGCTGACGAATGACTTAATTAACGATAGATATTCTTTTCCTAGTTATATATCACTCTTAGAACTTTCTTCCTTCCTCTTTTCTTTCTTTGTTTTTCTGCTGAAAAGAAAATCTCCGCTTGCAAGGATATATTAAATAGTTGTCGAAATAAGTTATCCTATTTTGTTTTCTATAACTTTAGCAATGTCAAATCGGCGATCACGACTTTGGACAACTCTAAATAGGTATACACAACTAATTACAAAAGAGAAGAACCTATACTTATTCTTTTGCATGAATCAAATGAAATTAATTTAATATAGAATTTTAATATATAATCTCAGATGTTTTTGTACATTATAGATGTACTGCAATGATTGATGAAAGGCTAGATCGATCTAATTTATCGTTAGAAACGACGGATCTTAATCAATTAACTGGTATTTCAAATATTTGTTTATCTTCATTGGAATACCCTTCTAAATCAAAGATTCGTCTTCATCAATTATTAAGTCCAGTTGAAAAAGAATTTGACACTCTCTTACTTGACAATATTACTTTACGAAAAGAATTAGAACAGTATAGTGGAATCAATAATAATGTACACGAGACAACAGTAAATAAACTTCGTGCAGCGAACATTTTTCCAATGATTAAAAATCGAGTTACACTTAGAACGAGAAATCAATCGGATGATTTACTTTTTTCATCAAATAATTATCATCGAGATGTTATTTGGGATGTTCAGGTGAGATGTTTATTAGATTTTATTTATTTATCATATTGAATTTTAGGTTGGTGGTTTGGAGAATCAATATTTTGTATCAGCTTCAGCTGATAAAACATCTATGATTTGGTGTCGAAAAACAGCTCGTCCTCTTATTCAATATCGAGGTCATCGTGGAAGCGTCAATTCATGTCGATTTCAATGTTTTGATCATGATTTAGTTTTAACAGCAAGTGGTGATCATGAATTACATATTTGGAAAGTATTTCTTGATAAAACTAAAGATAGACAAGACCAAGAAAATCAAATGACTCCATTACTTCTACGTAATCCAATATTAGCATTAAGATGTGATGATGTTTTGTCATGTGCTGATTGGCTTCAGCGTGATCATATTGTATCTGCTTCATGGGATAGAAGTGCTACTATTTGGCAGGTCAGTTATACAGAAAATTTCTTTGTAAAATTTCATTGGCACATACCTATATAGGTAGAAATGGGTAGTTCACTTCGTACGCTTTATGGTCACGAAGCAGAATTAACACATGTCTCTTGTCATAAAACAAAACCATTTGTCAGTACTGCTTCAAGTGAGTTAATGAAAATTTATTACTAGTGACAGATGTTTTTTAAAAATTGATTGAACTTAAGAATGATGATTCATGGTCTTTTCTATCAATTACTCTTTATAAGACAATGAATTTTCATCTGTTTGACGTGTTTATTTTAAAAAAGAGTCGGTTTTTTTTAAGGTGATGGAACATTTCGTTTGTGGGATTGTCGAACTCCAAGTCATTCGGTACAAATATTTAATGGTCATACAAAAACAGTTAATTCAACTTTATTTATCGGAGACTTTCGTCTTGTATCATCATCTGACGATGGTTTTGTTCATATTTGGGATTTTCGTTCAACTAGGTCTTCTCCATTTTTATCACTTGAATGCATTTCTCCAAGCAATCGTCTCTCAATATACAATGATATTTTAGCTGTACCACTCGACAACCGTGATATTCGTCTTTATTCTATTATAAGTGGAGAAAAACTTTATGTTCAACGCCGAGCACATAAACGAGCTGTTCAATGTACAGCTTTTGTTCAATTTAAAAACTCAATGGAGTTCCTTCTCGCTAGCGGTAGTCTTGATTGCCATATGCATGTTCGACATATTAAAAAGTTATAAAGAACAAACAATAATAAACTAATGAAATCAATCGAGTAATCAATAGAATCATTAAGTGAGATCACTAAAAACGGAAAGAGCTACAGAAAGAAAATATTCAAAAAACGAATACGAGAACTCCATTAAAAGAAAAAAGAAATAATATCAGTTCAATGACAGAAAAAAAAACAATCATCAACTTGTTCAAATCTAAAATCTGATAAGCCATAACAATGAATTTTATCTACAACATCCAATTGAAGAGATTTAGGTTTCGTTTAGATCACAAAAATGAATGATAACAGTGTACAATACTTAACTAATCAAATTCAATCAATCTCATTTGTTTTAGGAGAATGTCAATTTATTTTCGATTTATCTTTTTTTTCTTGCACATTTATCGTCATTCTCAAACGGTGTGCAAAAGATAAATGACTAGCAATATGTTGTTTATTATCAATCAAACCTTTTATGTTCTAATTATAGCTAAAACAATATTTAAAAAAGTACATTTTCTTTGTCTGAAGCGTTTTTTATTTATATTTATAATTTACAAACAGCACGAAGAAACACATTAAAAAAGCAAGCTTACAAAGCAATTAAAACAAAGAAACTGACTATAGCAAATAATATTATAGTTTACAATAGAACGATGCAACAGATAGAGATCTTTTCGACTTAAGTACAATTCGGATTTTTATAAAATAAACAACGACGGTAAAAATACTTCAAACTTTATCTGAATGTCATATGCTAAACTTAAGTGTATCTTTTCACAAAGGATCTCGCGCTTGCTCTCTGTGAATCAGTCGAAAGAAAATTTTCTGAGAACCGCTAGGAACTTAAATAATGCACTGCTTTTGTATTAAAGCAACTTGAGAAGTTCGCTGATAATTTGGCTCTCTTGCTGTATATATCAAAGACAAAGGCAATGTTTTTACGCGATGCAGTTTCACTCTCTTATTCCAAAATCTATTTTAAGAATCCAACGATTGAATATGTTAGTAAATTGAAATATTTGAGAGTAAATCTAACAATGAAACTGAGCTGTGATAATCATATCAATGAATGAATGACGAATATCTATCAGATATATTGAGCGATGCATGTAGTCTTGAGAATCATTACGAAGAAAGATCTTCTCATTCAACGCCCTCTCACACTTTCTATGATTATTCTGCACTTGGTTCTTCTTCATTTAAAGGCAGAACGAACGGATTGCACGTATGCACTATGCAAGACAATACTGACGCCGTTTGATATCCACCTGCTCACTACTGATGAAGCTATTGCTTTTCAACTAACATAGTCAACTTATTTGATCATAACCTCTCTTAGAAGAAAATCCTTCAAATCTATACGCTTTAGATTTAACAATATCTTCGCCCATGGATTGTGTGAGCAAGCAAACAACTGCATAATAGATTGGATTGAGTTTGATAATGTTCATATCAAGCAACATGACTGCTTTTCGAGGTTCAACTCAACATCTACCTCTTTGTTCTCAAGTTTTTCCTAACCTTCTGTGTGAAAGATTAATGAATTTCTCTTTTTTTCCCAATTTTCTAAACAGTTCTTTTTTTGTTATTGGCAAGAAACTGACGACTTTATTAAGTCCTTACAGTACAAAAGTGAAACGTATTAATATGAAGTAAAGAAAGTGAAAATGAAAAAGAAGGTCAGATATGTGTACGCACGTTACGAGAGACTTATCAGAAAATTAATGACACATCAACTAACATGTAAAGTGTTTATACCGATATACAACAAAAACAATTTTTTATTTTATTACTATGTTGAAGGGAACACAAAAATATGAGCCCTGTTAAAAAGTCTCCGAAAAGTCACAGAGAATCATAATGTCTTCAATGTTATAATGTAAAATCGATTCATTCGAGGGTATACCTGCGCACCAGGAAATACATGATTCCAACAATGAAAAATGTTCTACATATCGTTTTGATCTGAAAACTTCCTTTATACTGTTCTCGCCTTGCAGCCAGACCCTTCTAAAAATATTTAAGTTCGTCTGCTCGCACACTAACTCACCGTCTATAGCATCTGATAATGTTAATAAATACTTATTCCAATATCTCAAACATCGATCCTCTAACGGTATTTCATTGAGTACGTATGAAACGAAGTTGTCATACCACTGTAAACAAAATAATACTCTTTTAAACCTGCGTAATAAAAATGATTTAAATCTTTTTTGTTGCTTAACTGTAAATAGTCCGAAGAGAGGAAACAGCCAAGTAAACAATGGAAAAACATAAGAAAGAAATAACCCTCTTCTCAAGGCTGCGGAAGTAGTACCTGAGAAACGAAAAGAATATATCATACTGATACGTTCTCTAATCTTCATCATACTTTTTCTAATTAAACTACCAAAATCAGGTTTTGGTGTGATCCCATAACCAAGATACTTAAATTCGTTTACCCATGGTATTTTATTTCCACCATAAGCAATTTTGAATTTTGGCCTACTTATGACCCTAGATTTTCTAAACCGTTCTTTTTCTTTTTCTGTTTCTACTTTTCTGTATTTTTCTTGTCCTCATCTAATGCGTGGAGAGTCTGTATCCTCCCATAGTTCTCTTCATGTATTAATCGGTAATTATTCTTAGTACTGTTCTACAGATGCTACCTCATTTCTCTCTCATCTCTTTCATACTTGTAAACCAACATATTAAGTGACACAATAAATATTAATGTCAAAAAAAAGTTAAGTGTATCTGGTATTCAATATTGTTAGACATCTCTTATCTTTCTCCGTTGAGTAAATGTTTCACAAATTCATTCGACGCTTGAACATTTATAATGAAAAATAAGTTATAGAGACTATTCTCAATGCATGTTAGCTTAGGAAGGCAGTTCCTATATCTCTGCTATACACTCCTCTCCATAGATACAAGTCTTTGAACATATATCTGTATCATGAAGGCATTTCATTAAAATTAACATATTGACATTGTGAAAATAATAAATACTTTATTTTTTACAAACTGTTTATTATCTTTTTCTTTGTATGTTAGACATTTAAGGGCATGACGAGAAATTTCGAAGAAAATATAGATGGAATTAACAGAAATACTTTAATATCCTATCCCAAAAGCAAAGTCAATATGAGTTTTTAATCTAGAAAATTTTCAAAATAAGTTAGCTCATAATATTGATTGTTCAGTTTTCTTAATCTAAATTTTCTCATACAAAGAAAAGAAATTGAGACTTTATTTACTCTAAAAAAAATTTGCAGCACGGCTAGAGGTAGGACAAGTAAAAGTACCGCAACTAGAAGTATTATACTTGTACTATAAAAAATATACTTGCTGCTTATATTTGTACCTGACGACAAATACTTTGTACTTATACTTAAGTACGAAAAACAGAACTTTGTACTTTTTGCTTGAGGTATAAATAAATACAAGAAAATGTCGTCAATAAGATTGTCTAACTCTGGTAGATTTTTAAAGATCATCGTAATATCTTAGGATGAAAAAGAAATATGACAATAAAGATATTATAATAAAAATTTAAGTGAAACGAGTATCATCATTTTTTGATTATCCACCATCATTTTAAAGCAATAAAAACAATGGAGACTAATAGTGTTTTGTAAAAGGTTTAAAATAAAGTTATCAGGATATCACAGTATTATTTTTCATTAAAATATTTTTTATAGTAATGTTTTTTTCATGAGAATATATTTTGGTAGTCTTTGATAATCTATCAGAGTTAAGTCACCCTTCTTAGTATAAGTATTTAGTATATCTGATGAATATTTGTACTTTTACTTGAAAACGTACGACTGAAGTAGCGATAAAGTACAAATAATGAATGTACGGCTGAAAACTAGCTTTTCTTTCTTCTCATGCGCTTCATACGCTCCTAGCGTCTGAGCTTTTGATGATTAAGTCCAAGAATGCTGCAAAAAATTTTGAAGTAAGAATAAACTAATTAGCAGCAATTTATCATTATACAATGTAAGCATCTTTTCATTCAAATTCAACGATAAGCGCCTAGTTGAAAATTACGTTTCCATTGTATAGGAACTATAAGAAACGAGTCTGACGCTTGTAGTCATCGGTTGCTATGAAACCGGCAGATGGAAAAAGTTGCAAAACCTCGATGTAGAATTTCTACTTACTATATTTTTGGAAGAAAAATATAATATGATTTGCAGAAAACCATCTGGAAAAAATGAAAGATTACATTTATTGATATTCTTAAAAACTTCTATAATGATTTAAGTCAAAGTCAATTATGATGTTTTTTTTTTGTTAATCTTTGATAAAAACAGATATATGTGTATGAAACTTTCGATTAGCAACTTAATTCAGTTTTATATATTCAAAATAATTTGATGAAAATATCACAAATAATTCATGTCAGGAAATGAGTAATCACAGATAATCGTATTGAATAACTTTGAGTTTCAATCATCTATTTGAGTCTTGAAAATAAAATTAAATAAATGAACAAGTACATAGTTTTGCTATATATTTGAAAGCAATCTTGTTTTTAGCTTAATCAGCCTGAGTATTATTATGACCCCTATCGTTTTTGCAATTGGTTACTTCATTCGTTGACAAATATGACACCTGGAAGAATGGAAGAATGAAAAGAAAAAGAAAAAGAAAAACCAATGTTTTAAAATAATATTCAAACGTAGTTGCTTTTATAAACAAACAAATAAATAAATAAATAACTTGATGGAAAAATTAGCCGAAAAAAGCCATTTGTTTTGATTGATTATTCAAAAAATTTTTAGATATACATTCTTTTTTATTTGTTCCATTTATAAGAATGAATCCAAAAACCATCTGCGATTTATCTCTTATGAGTTGGAACATATTAGCTCCTTGTTGGGTTGATAAAGAATGGTATCCATCTGTATATGATTTAGCAGCCGATCATGAAACAAGAATCAAAACAATTGCATCAACTATTTCTGTACATAATTGGGATGTCATTATGATTCAAGAAGCTCAAGAAGATATGATTCCTTTATTTCAAGAAGAATTAGGTAATGATTACTTAGCTGACTTTGCACAAAATAATCCAACTTCATGTTCAATGGCTAATGGGCTTCTTACATTGATTCATAAAGATTGGAAATATGCTAAAGAAGCTCAGATTATCAATGGAATTCTTGATCGTATACAAGGTGATGCGATTCAAATCGTTCACATACCTTCAAAAAATATCCATTTAGTTAATCTTCATCTAGATTATATTTCTCCATTACCACAAGCAAAAATCGTCAAAAAAAGATGCCAAGAATTATTAGGTACCTCAAGTTCTATGTCAATTATGGCTGGAGATATGAATGCAAGTAAAAATGTCTATGAACAATTTGAATGGGTTGAATTTAGGAATGTTTTCAATGAATCTAACATAGATACGATCATTCCATCATACTATACTGATCGACATGATGAAGAAATAAATGAATCTATTGATCATATTTTTTATGATCCAAATCAAGTGACGTTAATTGAACATGGTAAGGCATGGAATGATCAAGATCGATCACTTGAAGATGCTCTGAAATTTTTTGGAAGTGATCACATTTATGTCTGGGCCGGTTTCAATTTTCATTCAAAACAAAAATAATTAAAATATCTTTGATATTTTTTATTCAATCCATTCATATATATTTTCTTATTCCTTTTGAAAAATAAATAAAAATAAAAAGTGCTATTTAAGCAGAAGAAAAAACAGCTATTTTATTTTTGTCAAGATCCACAACATGAAAGCAACACAAAAAAGAAAATAAGCTATCTACGAAACAGAAGAAATGAACATTTTCAAATTATTTTCAATTAATATATTCCACTTAAAAATAGTCTTTCGAACAATTGTTTTAAACGATCATTTATAATGTTCCAAATGATAAATAGATTATGACATATGCAACAGAGTTCTTGTTGATTATTTTAGATCGAAGAGAATTCCATATAATGTCATCTATAGAGAAGACGAAATTATATAAAATAGATGTCTGCATATGAAAGAAAACTTAAACAGATCTATCATAACAACTATGCTCATTACCGAAATTAATTAATATACAAATATTACACTATTTTCATATTGATTTTCTAGACTATGTAGAGCTACGAGAATTTCTATAGAAAAATGAAACAATTGCTTGTTTACTTTTCTTTCAGTTAAATTTGTCAATTTATGTATAATTAAAGGACTGAAGAATCATTGAAAGACACCATTGACAGTTACTAGTAGATTATGATTATTGAAGCTTAGATCTCAGAGATAGACAAGAATAAGATTTTATTTTTCTGAAATCTTCAAATGAACAACTTACACTGATTTTTAAAATTGATAATGAGAATTGCATTGCCTATTCTTTATTGTTCACGCAACGATAATCGACAAGACAAAACTTGATTTCCCCCTTTAATTGTTCATTCAATAACGGAAAAGCATTCTGTAATAAATATTGATTAATTGTATTTGAGTAGTAATTTTATCAGATACAGATTGAAGTAATTCTATACAATTAAAATAAAACGCAGCACCACAAGCTGCATCAACATTTGTATATTGCTATTAAAAGACTCATCTTGTTATCATATAACAGAAGAAGTAAAGGGGATTGGTTTAAGAAATGATTAATATCTTCTGAAAAAAAACACAGTATATTTTTTCAATAAAACATCTTTATTTATTATAAATTAAATTATATGAAAATATTTTAAAAAAGAAATTATTTTCCTACTTTTTGGATAATGAATCATTTCTTGAAGTTCATTCCACTTAAGTAACCAGGCCGTGTATGAAAGGCAAAAGTCAGATAAGATACAGATAAAATAAAATGACAAGGAAAATGTTGAATAGCATCATTGATTAAAATAAATACATCACACAAAACATCAAACTAGATCAACAAAGAGAATGCGAAAGTATCGAATAATTGATTATATTATTGTTTTTCTATTCGTACTGAATGAAGAAAATATATTTATCTGTATTCATTAAATCAAGGCGCTCTTCTGCATCATTAACCATAGAATCCTTCATTTTAAACTGCTCTTTAAGGTCCCTGCAAAAAAGGAACCTTTTAAAAATAATTTGCAAGAATTTAAGTAACTCATGTCAAATTTTCCTCTACCATAAATGATAAGTGTTATACTCAATCGATTTTCTCTTGCTATAGTAGTGAAAAACTTAAGGAATTTTTTCTTAGGCAGACTAAAGATGTTTTTATTTGATATCTGATACTATTAATCCATATTCTTCTTAATCTAATGTCATCATGGTTTGAAATCAGCATCTTAAGTTAAAAGAAACAACAAAATTCTTTCATAGACTATAAAACAGATACATGTACAACCAATTTCTTGAGGCTCTTTATCATTAAATTAAGTTAAATTAATCGATTCAGATAAATTATCGAATTGCAGAAGATGATTGAGAATGTTACAAACACATAAATATTCATCATGTTTCTGAGATGTTGGATAGGCAATTATGTTTTTTGCATTGATCAAGTACTTATAAAACATATTTTTTTTATCTTATTGAAATTATCTCGTTATTTAGTTCAACCTCCTTCACTTAGTAAAATTTTAGACCAAGAGAACTATTATAAAGTTTCATTGAAAGCGATCAAAGCACTTTGATTTTGTCTCAAATAATAAAAAAGAACTTTGGAAAACTTACCGATGTGTATAAGTTGATTGTTTTTCTATGGAGTACATTTGAATCAATAATAGTACTTTTAAGCATTATTTCACCATGTCACCTAGGTCAAATGACATTGACGGATCCCAATTGATATGAACAAGACATTATTATATAAAAAATAGGCATAATCAAAATTTTGGTAATCTTTCGGTAATCTTTTTTGTTGGTTCATCTAGTTTCTCAAACGTTATGATTGCCTATTCGTTCTGACTAAATTATTTTGATTGTATAGACGAAAAATATTAATCCATTTTAATAACCACGGATAGATGAACAAGGTTGATATTCTTCGTCTCATCCTGAAAGATCATCTTTCAGTTAAATTATACTTGACTATTACTGATGCTATAATTGAAGATTTTTCATAATTTCTATTTTGTATCAGTAGCATCGAACGAAAATAATAGGCTGTTGATGTAATTACATTTCAATAGAGCTTGATGGCAGGATTTTAAAATCATTATCAAAGTATAACAACACCAGAACATGATATTTTTACGAAATTTTATAAAAAAAATATTAATCAAATAACTAGTTTTATAATAATGTACCAATATTGATTTGAAATTATCATTCAAAATAATAATATCATCGACTATTTTACTGTACGTACATTATTGCCATTCTCGATTTACAATATGATAAGAAACTTTATTCAATAGAAAATTTTTATCCACGAAAAACTTTCAACGCAGATGTTATTTGTTTGAATAATTTTGTATGTGTGCAGTAATCCTTTAACTAAATCATCACGAAACTCTAAATTAATAAAAAAACAAATTCATAAAATTTATGTTTTTAACAAGTGTGTACATCACCTATGTGTTCTTTTTATTTTATTGGGTATATTGAAATAAAGTGAAAAAAATCGATAAGGCAAATATTAAAAGCTTTTGCCACAAATTATAGACATTTCATATTTAACAATATCAGTATTGAATAATATAACTTGTTGTTGTACAATGCAAGAATGCTGCTCATTATGGTAAGTAAAAACGAAAAGACAAGCAGATTTGTTGATGAAGTGTTTAGTAAAACTTTTATCTCCTTCAATTCGTTATCAATACTAAATACTACGTTTCTAGTTGTATCATAGTATCTGTGTTGTCATGATATAATTAAAGCAAAAAAGATATATACTACGTATTCTTTGGACGAACATGACTCATAAGCCATTTTCCTCTTTCGGTTTTCATCGTTCCTTATCGAAACATAGTAATAGTAGGTGTTTTAATGGTTGTAAGTCATCAGTTTTTACGTTACATGTAAAGTAAAAGGAATTATTCTAACGTCACTACCGTTCTCTTTCATATTTTATTATGTTACATAAATAGACTGAAGAAAAAATTCTTCTTCATAGCAACTGCGTCTTATTCCTTATTTACGTGCAAGTTTTTAATACGAAATATAACGTAAAATGTATTTACAAGAATCCAAACTGCTTTGAAAAAAATTATCTTTTACCCAGCAGTGTCCAAGGACTGAGTTTTGAGAATTCTTCCAATTCTTAAAATCACCAGCTAAAAGTGATATATCCCTTGAGGAACTGAGAACTGACCCTCAAGCACTTCACGAAACCTCCTCGGTTCGTCATCAATTCCTTGTCGTGAATAAATCACAAACCTTGACAACGACAGTTCTCAAACCACGATACCTTCTCATTTCCTCATTTCCTCCCGTGGGTATTGACCGCCGACAATCCCTCAGAAAGGAATCGAGGAAATAACTAGAACTAACCGCCAATACCGATCGGGGGGAACTGACACCAACATTAGCCACCATCATTCGAATCCCATAAGAAGGATCCAGACAATAACAATTACTACACCAATGCGAGGAGACGCCGGGGAACTAAGGAATTGTGACAATTCTGTTGATAGTTCATAGGAACTGAGGTGGATACCTAGAAACTTTCTAGGTATTCACCTTCGTTCCAAGGAACTGTCACAGTTCCCTAGTTCTTCGGTTTTTTTCTATATATGGTATAATTTTAGTCTCTAAAGAGTACTACGTCATTACCTCAATTCTCTCGGAGAACTGAGGGTAGGTACTGTGCAGGTATCCACCTCAGTTCCTAGGAAGTGTCAGCAGAACTGTCACAATTCTTCAGTTCCCCGTCTTTTTTCTGTATCTCATGTGATTTTAGTATCTAAAAAGTACTACGTCATTACCTGAATTCCTCGCGGAACTGAGGTAGATGCCTAGAAGGAACGTACCATAAGTTCCTATGACTTCGAGAAGGATTGATTAGCTGAGTCGTGTACCCCTTCGTTAATAGGGATAATTCTTTATTTTTCCTGGGGAACTGGTCACGGAAATTTCAACCAAGGAATTGTCATTTAGAACTGGGCAGAACTGTGGGGGATATGTCAAGGGAACGAGAAGGACTGAGGCTTTTGATTTTTTTCTGATATAAACTCTATACTTCTTGGGAGGCTTTCTTGATTCATGTAAGGCAGCGTAGATGCTAGGGAAAGATTTAACTTCTGCTGACAGTTCCTGGGAACTTAGATGAATACCTACGCGGTACCTATCCTCAGTTCTCCAGGGGAATTGAGGTAACGACGTAGTACTCTTTAGATACTAAAATCACATGAGATACAGAAAAAAGACGGGGAACTGAGGAATTGTGACAGTTCTGCTGACACTTCCTAGGAACTGAGGTGGATACCTGCACGGTACCTACCCTCAGTTCTCCGAGAGAATTGAGGTAATGACGTAGTACTCTTTAGAGACTAAAATTATACCATATATAGAAAAAAACCGGAGAACTGGGGAACTGTGACAGTTCCTTGGAACGAAGGTGAATACCTAGAAAGTTTCTAGGTATCCACCTCAGTTCCTATGAACTGTCAACAGAATTGTCACAATTTCTTAGTTCCCCGGCGTCTCCTCGCATTGGTGTAGTAATTGTTATTGTCTGGATCCTTCTTATGGGATTCGAATGATGGTGGCTAATGTTGGTGTCAGTTCCCCCCGATCGGTATTGACGGTTAGTTCTAGTTATTTCCTCAATTCCTTTCTGAGGGATTGTCGGCGGTCAATACCCACGGGAGGAAATGAGGAAATAAGAAGGTATCGTGGTTTGAGAACTGTTGTTGCCAAGGTTTGTGATTTATTCACGACAAGGAATTGATGACGAACCGAGGAGGTTTCGTGAAGTGCTTGAGGGTCAGTTCTCAGTTCCTCAAGGGATATATCACTTTTAGCTGGTGATTTTAAGAATTGGAAGAATTCTCAAAACTCAGTCCTTGGACACCCCTTCTTTTACTGGATAAAAAGTATAAAAAGGATGTTTCTATTTCGATATATGATAAAAGCAGAAAATTTTATAAACAAACAAATCGATGGGGGTACATTTATATATGTGAAATATATGCTTTTGAGTTATTAACGTGCTAAGAATAAATACATATAATCAAGAACATTTTTCTGATTAATAGATCTAGCTGTTAGAAAATATGTTAACGTATGGGTTTTTTATCATTATTTTGGCTTTTTATTGACATCGGAAAAGAAGAATATGAAAATCTTTTATTGCAAATGATCGAAATGGTTGATAATAATAATTATCATCAACAAAATTATAATTTCTTTTGGATAAAATGACTTATTAGTCCAAGAGGTGAATTTTTATGTAAAGGTTTTAAAATCTCTAAAACACGATGAATTCAACCTTCATGAATCGACTAATCTTGTTGAGATCATGGAAAAAATTCATGGAAGAATTCATTTTTTAACATATATCAAGTAATTAAATTATCAACAATATAAATAACTCTGTCTATTTCACAAATAAACAGATGTTATGTGCATAAACATTTTAAACTTGAATGAATATTTCTTTTATCTTAAAGGTTACGGGCTGAAAACTTTACTCATTTTGCTTGTGATGTTGCACTATACTAAAGGTAAGCTTTATCTGGTTTTGGACTTATTTCAATTATATGATGTTGACGTTTTTCTACTGGATATTTAATCTTTGCTCTCTAAAATTATTCATAAACAGTGAAACATGGAATGAAATCAGTTTTAATAAATGAACATTCATACTAAGTACTATACCATTCAGCATATACTGCAGTAACACCACGTTTATTAACACTTATCTATTCAAATTTTCGATGTTGAAATTTTAATAAGGTTTCTTTAGAAAATTATATGACCATTTGTTAAAGTTAAAAATTGATAAAATTGCTTGCGACCTTTTCTGATGAGACACAATGTTTTATTTGTTCGAGATAAGAAAGTTGCTTATGATGTGCTTCTACTGTAGCTCTATGATATCTTCCATCATACACTCTGGAAAGCTATCACATAAGCAGATTCAAATTTAACTTTCTTCCTTGAAAATAGTTTTTTTTTCTTCAGAAATTATTGTATATAACTCAAGAAATCATGTTTGAAGGTTAAAAGCTTTTCCAAAAACAATATTTTTTGATAAAATATGCCTACAGAATCCTTGCCCATATTTTTTCGAGAAAGTTTGTTTTTTGGAAAAATACCTTGAGCATCATATCATTAGACGCAGTTCAATGTGCTGGTTCCGAATATAACCATTATTTTCCTTCAAAGTGTTATATGAATTCCTAAAACGAGATTTTCAATCAAAAATCTGGTTTTTTAGAAAACATCCAAAACAGCCTAGAACAAGTTGCATAAACTACCGCTAACTACCATTCTTAGAATACGCATGTAGAAGTATCTGCTAAAAATTTGAGGTCAATCGGATTGTTATCTGTTTTTAGTGTTCATAAAATGTGCAGCAGTAAATTTTCGTTCCAGAAAGCCTAGGTTTTCTCCTCTATTTTAAATTCAAATATGGTTCTTCTTTTAATAAGATAAAGTCCACAGCTAAGCAACTTTTTGTAATATTGTTTGCTTGTGGAATATTGTGCTACATTGTGGAACGGCTTGACTTTGTATATTTATGCCGCTTTCTAGGCCAAAGCCTTGTCCGGCTCTTTTCTACAGCTTTATAAAACTTAGAGAACCGCTATTGTAGAAAATGATAGATCACACATTCATGTCACTGTGATGTGTGTATAATGCCTAAAAATAGTTTCTATCGACTCTACACTCTTGAAATTCTGTATCGTACTTGTATGACCTCATACAATACATATGTGCGCTATATTATCAAATTTGTTCTTCCCTACTGTCCTTTACTTAAGCAAATAGTTATGATAATCATTCCTCTTGTCTTTGCTTAGCGAATACCTTTTTAAATTTGATGATCAGACCATTGGTTACTGATTCTATACCTAAACTACATCATGAATTCATTAGTAATATATACCAGATTATTCGCACACTAAATGTAAATGAGTACACGTTGAAAAAACAAATCCTCTATTAAGTGAATTTACTAACAAATTTGTGTGAATTTTATTTGCGACAAAAAACGATCAGAGAGTTCTCCAAGAATAATATTTCGAAAGAAGAATTCGAAGTGAAAGATATGAACTCCATTGACAGTGATACATAAAGGAAAGGTGAAATTATATATGGAATTGATTAAATGATGTTTTCGTTATATATTATATTTAAATGATATATGAAATTTCTTATTTTGATATTATTAAATCAAGTATGAACTTACTTAATGCAACATATAGGTTTCATTTTATGTATCTTGCATTTTCTCCAAACTTTCATGAGTTTCGAAAAGCAGTTAAACACGGTTTTTGAATCCCGACAGTTTGTGAACCATTTATTAGATGATTTCTTCGACAGCAACGATTCATCTTAATGCTGGCAGTTGGCTTATATTTTTATGCTAACAAAAAGAACATTTGTTTCTCTATCGATCTATACGTTTTTCATTTGACTCATTACCTACTTTTGGTTAGAAATTTCATGATTTTCCGGCAAGTCTCTACATCAACTTTTCCAGAGAATTTTCTTCATATAGTAACGAAATTTCAGTTATTTGACCATTGAACTGTTTTCTCGAAAAACAATATCAATAGATAGACTATTAATTTCTTTAACAGTGCCAATAATCTTAGTCTAGTTTACATCAGGTCTTACGCATGAATTGTTTGTGAAAAACTCGATAGACTTATTTTTCCGTGTAAGAGCTCAATGATTTTTATTTTAAAAATATAGCACAATCATTTTCTCAAATAAAAGTCAACTTGTTTTCATCCATCGTACACGTTGAATTTAAGTAAGTCTCCTTCATGTAGCAGTCTTCGTTATGAAACAACTTTGTATTAGTAAAATATGATGTTGAAAAGATTGCACTTTGCCAATTGACAAATTTCATCAAATGTGGAATTCAGATGCAAGATAAATAAAATGAAAATAATATAATTCGATGGAGTAATGAATACTGTATCCCATCGTATTACATTAAGAAATTTTGCAAGTTTTTCTTGAAATACAACAAACTAAGCAAAACTATCAGAAATAACGCAATTGATCGATTTACAAGTCATAACTCTAGAATAAATTTTAGCATGAAAAGAAAATTACAATACGAACTGTTTCTCAATATGTTTTTCGTGTGTATATTTAACTTGAAGAAAAATAAACAAGAAAATAATAAAAGAACAAAAAAAAATTAATTTGTCGTCCAAATTTCGTCAACATGTAATTCTAACATTTCAAGTCCAGGAAAACTTTGAACTTGTTTAATATAATACAAAAGATCACTTGTTAAAAGTCCATGTTGAGGTCCACCATCATTAGCAATTCTTAATTGACGTAAACGTCTTGCTAATAATTGTTTAAATATTGAATTAAGACGAGTAAAAAGCAGAATAAGATCACTAGGTGAAACAATACGTGCAACAGCGTTATAAAAAGCAGTTATATGTCGTGTTACAAGCGTGCGAAAACAATCACTTGGCATGGGCGCACGAACTTCATATGATGAAAGTGTTTCATCAAATGTATTTTCAATTATTGATATTAATTTTCCATGAATTTCATCAATATGTTCTGAATAAAGTTTTGTTAATTGTTCAAATTGCTTAGCAGATGATATTGATGAAATTGTCGATGGAGATTCAGATAAAGCCTTAAAAGAAATTATTTATTGCAATATAAATTTTATTAATTCAAAATATTTTACGAAACAAAAATAATTAACAATCTATAATTTATTTAAACTAATATTTGATAAATCAATTGATAAAAGTTTGTTTCCAATGCTGATCTTCATAAGTTCATAGAGAATATTTCACTATTTTTAATTAAATTATTATTTTTGTCTTCATTTATTTTTTAATAAACTAGGAAGAAAACTTTTAAATTATGAATACACGATGAAACAAAAGATTTCAAAAATACTGCTTCAATTTAACAAATGAAAATAACTATCACTACCCGATTATAACAGATACGTGACTAGTCTTTGCTTATTGGCCGATTTAACAGTAGTTTTCTTAACATAGAACTTATCATTATTCATTCCTAATATGTATGTAGTTGACACACGTTGCTATTATACAATGATCCATTTCATCGATAATTTCCTTTATATTGAATATGCAATTAAATATAAACGAAATCATTTGATGCACTCATAATATCAGTTTTTTCTATGTCTATGAGTCATATTGTCCTAATTTATTCGTCTACTTTTTTATTAATTTAGAAAATGAATAAAATTTATTTTCGTAAACTCTTCATGAAGATAAAGAATCTTTCAGAGAAAAAAGCATTTCTACTGAAATTTGTATTTTCATTAAAATATAAACATAGATCTTACTATTATAAAACATTCTCCATGTCTTCAGAAGACGTTTTATTTAATCGGTTTATCATTGTATTTTCAAAAAGAAACCGTCAGTAATTGATATGATAAACTATGAAGTGAATATTCTATAGTACTGATTAGTTATTTATATCAATTCAAAGAAGATCGCTATGAAACCTGATCTAAAGTTATATGTCTGATCATAAAATTCTAAATTTACAATGAAATCATTTAGACAAAGAGTAAATTGAGAATTTCTTTTTAGTAAAAAACAATCTTCTGATTTGATTAGTTAAATAAAATAAATTATAAATGAGAATATAGTTGTGTTTATTATCTAGTTCATTTTAATTTACAAAGAAATAAAATAATACCTTTAATTGATCAAAATGGGCTTTTATTTTTGGTAAAGTTATTTTAATAAATTGTAAACATCGACATGTAATAGCAAGAATTTTTGCTGATATAGTTTTAATTTTTCCTAATTTAACAGCCCCAGCACCTAATACTAATTGACATGTTTTAGAATTAAATAGATTCAATAATTCAATAAGACGATGTTCAACATCATTTATAGATGATGAAGCTAATAGTTGAGCACATGAACAATAATCAAGCACCAACATAAACAAATGAAGAGCACTATTTGACAAAACAAAACTTTCATTATCAATAATTAATGTTTCTGAACTATTTGGATTTATTGAAGATGATAACTTAAAAAGTTCATCAATTGAATTTTGAATTGAACGAGGAACCGGAACCTAAGAATTTTATTTATATTTAATTAAGTTTGAAAAAAAAACAAAATAATTTTTACTTGTTTCCATTGTTCATTATCTAATGTATTTGCAACACGTTGTTTTCTTTCATCATGAAAATGCGTTAAAAATTTACTTGTTTGTGATTGTAAAAATGTTTTTAATGGTCGAGATTTATATTTTTTGTCGTAACCATTTACATTGGATATAAAGTTTTCAATTAATTTAACCATTTGTGCATACTCATCAAGTGATAAACGTTCAAAATGAACTTGACAACGTGTACATTCTTGAGTTAATACAATAGTTAGACGATCTTCTATGGTATCATAAATATTATGTAATAATAATGTTATTGATGGAATATTGTTTAGGTGATGTTTTAAAAGTGCATCATTTATATATTGAGAAAGATTTCTAAGACGATTAAGACCTTGTTCAGTTGACGTTAATATTAAATTAGCTGATCGAATCCATGAAGAAAATGAACCTGAATTTGAACTCATTGATGATGGAAATGTGTATCGAGTGGTTGTAGAAGATTCTTCGTTTGATGAAGATTGTTCACTTTAATAGATGATATTCATTTAGTTTTTATCTTCGAAATTTTATCAACAATAGAATAAATTTTTCTTTTAAATAGAATTTCTCGTCACATATAAAATTAGTTGCTAATCAGATGATCATATTCTTCATTATTTTAATAATCTATCATCCTTTAGTCTCAAATTCAGTTTGAGGAATGATTTGTGTAGTCACTTTTCTGAAACAAATATTTATTATATTATCCCCATACTTCGATGTTTGCTAGAGGATACTATAGACTATCGTAGATCGTCGAATTAGATATATATATATAAAAGTTGAAAGAAAAAAATTTGTCATATAGGCTTTTCGAATTTATATATTTCACAAAGCAGACAACAAATTTATACAGAAAAGTAACATCTTCAATGTCTATCAGGCAATTGAGTAACTAAGTCCAAAAATACTGTTCCTAATATTTGTTTTTAGTGACAGTTATTTACTGTTATCGTTTGCTTCTATATTTATATCAAATATTCAAACAAAAAAAAAAAGAATATAAGAAATACGTAATAGTCATATAAAAAATCAAGATAAGATATATGTCACGTATGCATAAAATGAGTCATCACTTCTATTTGTTAATAGCTGTCGTCTTTTAAAATAGCATTATTTGTAGCGAGTTTTAACCTCCATAAGACCAGAGTTATAATACATAATAGATATTTTTTATTGTATAAGAAATATAAACGAGTTAAAAACATCAAAACTGAAGAAAATATCACAACTTCAAGCTGAATTTAAGATCAATGGACTATAATATTTGACGACTCTCTTCAAATGTAGGAATTTATTTTTATGATATCAGATAGACAAAATTTGCATTATTTAAATAATAAATAGGACGTTTATGATCTTCTATAGTTGTTTCTTTTTTCTAATTGCTCCTCATTAGCTCTTTTCATATGAATTACTGTACATTGAATGTTGTTACATTTAAATCAAAAATGAATGACTATATGAGAAATATATCAAAAACAACAGTTATTTATCGGTGATTAATAACAATTGAAAAAAAAAGTGTTTCTATAATGCATATAGAATTACTTCAAAAGCAATCATTAACTCAAAGCATTTGTAAAAAAGTTCAAGATAGTAGTATTTTAAGCTGTTTTAGTTAGTTAAAGGTTTTGAAACGTTTATTAAATTCATCTCGTTACTTATGAGAAGTTTATGAAAAAGATCTATGATTATCTATAATGTTTTGCCAATAATGAGATTTATTAGAAAAAAAGATATGTTTGTGCAACATTAGTTAAACATAATTTTGTTTTGGTTTCAAACTAAATTATTTATTAGGACTTGCGAGATGATTTTTTTCTCGTTCTGTTACTATAGTTTTTTAGTGATTTATATATGTTTTGACGCGTTATAAAATTTCAACTTTTGTCTAAAATATAAAAATGTATTTATTGTGAATGAATAGAAGAATAAACAAATATCTCATAGCAAGAAATAAACCCAAATCTAATTACTGTAAACAATCAAGACACATGATAAGTTATTATATCTTAGCAAGATTTTCATAAGCAAGAATGTTTAAAAGGTCTATGGAATCGGAAAATAATAAAATCTGTTCATGAAAGGCTCGAAGTTTTGTTTTATCCTTTTGAAATTTTCTAAATGAATTTTTGTTTTTAAAGAAAATTCTATTTGAAAATTCTCTTGAACTCTTTGTTAACTTACCTGTTATTTTTAATTGCTGTTTTATTTGATTTTTCCACAAAATTATCTTTTGGATTTGATGATAATGCTCGTTCAATAATATCCAGCATAAATTGTTCAAATTTTGATCGAATTTCATCAATGTATTTCTCATCTTTAACACGAATTAATCCAATAAGAATCGTTATCAATTTATCTTCTTCAATATAATCATTTGGTAATGTTAAATCTAAATAGAATCAATTAATTTATTGAAAATAATATAAAATAAAATATAAAAAACCTTGTTGCGTTAATAACTGATTAGTTAAATATTGTCCAAATTCTTGTCTCATGAGATTAACAATTAATAAATAAAATTCATTTAATTGTGCATCATAAAATCTTAAACAAATAAGATCATTTAATTGCGTTGAAATAATTTCTCGTGTTTCCTCAATTAAATCCAAAGCTGATAAATAATCACTTGTTGTTAATAAAGCTCGAACTTGCATATGAGTTTGTTTAACAACTGATAAGGATTCTAAACGTTTAAGAAGTTGTCTTTGATTTTGTCTTTGACGAAGTAAACGATAAAGACGAAGAAGTCTTAATAATGATTGAGAATCATAATTCGATAATTCCCCGCGAAGTGATGATATTGCATGACGTGTTGTATTTAAAAATGATTGAATTTCATCATGAGAACGAACAGCATCATGAAAACAGTGAGATTTTGTTGATAATGCTCGAGTTATTAATAACTCAACTTCATCTAAATAATGTGTGTATTTATCTTGTAATAAACGTGTTGTTGAGCTTATTGAATGTTTTGGTGATGAAGAATTTGAAACACTAACACAAAAGAAATCAAACAAATTTTATTTTATTTTATCTTCAAAACCTTATTGAATTTCAAGATGATTTATTTTTCTTTTTAAATTACTTAGTTTTCAAAAGAAAAAATCATTAATTTCAAGTATTTCAAAGGTAATCAAACATACAAACTTATAAATCTTACAAATAAAAAAGAATTTATATAATATGCTCAAAAACAAATGGACATAATGAATTAAACTTGCTATTAATATTAGCATAACTAGAAATTTTTATCATTTGACAAGATGAAATTGTCAATTTACAATTAGAATTTATATTAAGACTAATATAAAACATATAGATGTAGAAAGTTTTAATTGAAAATAAAGTTTAATTTCTAGCTATCATAGTAACTTCGTTAAAATAAATATTTTTTGGTCGTAGAAATTTTGCTCTATCTATGGGAGAAAAAAAAGATCTTTTTGCAATGTTTGATTTAAGTGCATAAGGTTTTAATCTATGTGTGTAATAGACATGCGTCGTAGATTATTAGAATAGCTATAGTATATAAGAATCTGTTAGATCTGAATTCAGAGTGAATTTGATGAGTTTCATTTTAGTATGTATTATGGTAAATAGATGCAGAATCTATGGGAAAAAAGTAAAGTTTTGTTTGATTTTTTTCAAGTAAAGTGAAGTATTCTTCTTCAATAAAATGAATAAAGCTACGAAAAAATCAATTATATTTATTATGTGTATTAAATATTGATTTAAATTCGAGTTGAGACACGAGTCTAGGGTAGTTTCGACAGAGTATAATACCCATGAATAATATCTAGTGAATTTACATCATTATTATCGTTAAAACTTTGTTTGAAAATCAAGCCGTACGAAAATATTTTTTGTTAGTTTAGAAATAAAATATTCCGATGTTTGAAATCAATAGAAAACATAAAAATTTATTTCTTCAATATTTAATTACATTTTCCTAAATCGTTTTTATGTCTTCATTTTGGTTTGCATAAATACAATAGAACTTTCAATTTTATGTAAGAAATTTTTTTAGATAAATAATCATTTATTAAAATGAATATTTTTGAAAGATGCAAAGTGAATTCTTTTACGGTAAGTATTACATTGCCATAAGACAAACAAAACAGCTTTCGTGTATAAGAGAAAATAGATTAAACTCTAGTTAATATTTAAATAAAATAATTCAAACAAACCTAAGAGTTCCATTGGTTGTTGATTTGCTGTTACTTGTTGATGATGTTGATTGTCTTCTATAATTTCCTTCAGATTTATCACTACTTGTTGATGTTGTTCTTGGTTTTTGTTGTTCAAAGTGTATTGGAGATAATGTGCGACTTACTGGAATAATTCCTGGAAAAACAAGATTAAATGTTGATGTATCACTTAATGTAAACTGTGATGAAAGAAACAATTGTGGAATGTTAATAACTGAATTTGTTTTTTGTGAAACATTTGAATCATTAGATGAATGTTGTCGTAAACGTGGTCGACCATATTTTTCACTTTTACGTAGACTATTAAAATATGTTTCAAAATCATTAAGACTATAATCACCAAGACGTGTCAATGGATCAGGCAAACGATCAATAAATGAATTACCTTTAAATTAAATGATTGTGATTTTTAATGAATTTAAATAAACAAGAGACAAATAAAACTAACCCCATGTTTTAGTAAAAAATGTTGAAATTTCTGCACGCGTTTTTTTTGGATCATTTAAAACACAAGCTAAATTTGATTGAAAAACGGTGGGAGTCGTGGATGTTAATGTTGTTGTTGTAGGATCCCCATCTGCTAGTTTTTTTCGATTATTTAATGAAGATGCCAATAAATGGCTCATTGTTTAAGTAACCATGACATTTATTAAGATATAAGAGAAACAATCTAAAGTACAATATACAATGACTAATTAATATTTATTTATTCAAAATTTTCTTGTTTTTTCTTTTATAAAAAGAAACAAAACAAAACCAATATTTGATTTTTCTATCTGAATTATTTCCATATTTTAATTATTATTGTTATTATTATTATTATTGGTGTTGTTGTTGTTATTATTGTTATTATTATTTTGTTGTCCAATTGTTCCTTGAATTTGTTGTTCATTTGGTTGTGATGATGGACGCGATGATTCATTAGGAATTATTTTAGGTTTTGGAATTTTCGATAAAAGATCTTTGATTTGTTTTCCATCATTTGGTGGATCAGCATCATATGTTGTCATTAATTCATAATATTTAAGTAAAAGTTTAACAACTTCATAAATTCTTTCAACATCAATTTGTGCATCAATCATATATTGTTTAAGTATTGCCATTTTATCACGATATGTTGCAGCAAGTAAAAGACAAGCAAGTGCTATTTCATATGGTGGATATAAAAGTGGAGCATCTGTTTTTAATGAATCATTTATAATACGCCATGCTGTTTCAAATAATGGTTGATCAATTTGAAATTCTCTTGTATACATATCTAATGAACGATATGGATGATAGATTATTAAACAACAATCCATTATTTCAAGTAAATAAAATTCACATTCAAGAATATGTTTTATTTGATATGGATATTCTCCAGGACCGCCTACAAATAAAAGAAAATTTTACATCAACTATTTAATCATATTTCATAAAAAATTTCGCATCTCCATTTCCTTTTGAATTAAATTAAAATAAAACTCCGGGAAAATTCGTAGACAGTTTTTATTCAACGCTATCTCATTGACTTTCAATGAATGCAATCATTTTATTGCTTTTTCGACTTCAGTAAATCGATAAGCAATGATTGAATTTGGTAATAAACATCAAAGAAAAGATATTCATTGACTATTCAAATGTATTTTGTTACCTAATTATTATGGTTTCTGCTCAGATCAGTTTCCTATAATAAATTCTAATATTGATCATCATTTCTTGAGAATATTAAATTCAATAGTTAACCTCATCCTGATTATAACAATTCTTATCTATAATTTGATTGGAACATCGAATACAGCGATTACAATTTTTAAGAGCAAAAATATGATGTTTATCGTTGTGTATTGATTTGAATTTCTCAATAAATGTGTATCCAAAACAGAATTTAATACGACGAAGTCATTTCAGAAGAAACAATCAAAGATAAGTCAATTCAAATAAATACTTCCTCTTATGATTCTTCTTTTTCATGTTTTCGTCTTCATTATCTTCTTACTGTTTCTGTTTCGCTCTTTTCCCTATATGCCAATGAACTTTGATAAAATCAATAGAAACACTTTAAATTCAGCCAGGTCTAGACAAAAGATCCAACGAATTTCAGCTCCTTCTCTCTTATGACTTCAATTCGCCACTGGTGTGAGTTCTAACTCAGCTTCTGTGAATGACAAAAAAGTCAACACCAAAGTATTCTTGTAGCTATAAATAAATATTTATTCGAAAAATAGAACTTAATCATTTATTTTTTCTTTTGATATCTTTATTGAATAATTGATTAAATCATTTGTAGATTTAGGTGTATATAACCTTGTATGTGTATACTCAACTATTTGTGCTCTATTTCAATTTCGTTTACTCTTCAGTTTTCATTTCATCCAGAACAAACAAAAAACAGAAATCTATTCCATGTATGCAATACAAAGTAGCAAATTTAGATATAGTCAATGTACAAAGTTACAGAATTTTTATCTTTTTTATAAAATATATTATAGAAGTTAATTTTCTCAAAATATCTGCACAAACTATGCTGAAAGTAATATACTATATAATTAATAAATAGAAAAAAAAGATTTCTTTTTTATTTGTTTTTTAAATCTTACTTAATAAATGTGCATATTTTTTATAAGTTGTTGCAGCTGCATTACAAACTCGTTGATGATTTAGTGTCGAAAATTCTTCAACTTTAGCAGCAAGAAATAAACAAGTTGGGCAAAGAAGCCATGGATCAATACTTTTTAATGGATATCTTGCATAAAATCTTTTTAAATAAATAATTGCTGTTGCTATAACTTGTTGACGAACTTTGTATTGTTCACCTATATGTTGAATTATATTTGAATAAAATATAAGAATTTTTGAATAATCATCTTCTGTTGTTAACGAGGCATTATTATTTGTAGACCATGATGATATATCACGTAGGCGAAATGACATCAATTCTTGACGATCAAATAACCATTGTTCAAATTGAGAACTTTTCCAATAAGATGCAGCCATTACTATCTCAAATAAAATATTCTTTCTTTTTGTCAATATGTATGTATTTATGTATCACAAACCAGAGTACAACTTGAGAAGAACGACACTCCACTTTGTGTAACATCTATAGAACAGGAAAAAAATCTATTAGCGTATACATATAACCACTACCTTATAAAAATAGAATGTGAGATATAGATGTCACATGAGAACAGTTTATATTGATGTTGCAGCAATCTCATAAGAAGGAGGTAATCCCACCAAAGCTAATTGAATCTATTAATTATGAGAATATTGAAACAATTTTATAAAATTCTATGATAAACGAAAATGAACAGAAATACAGACGAAAAACATGCTTTGGGAATACATAATCAGAAACATCTCTCAACAGTGATAATAAAAAAAGATAAGTTCTTTGACAAGAAGTCTAATGATTTCTGTTGAATGGAGAAAATTCATCAGTATTTAATTGCAAATTAAAGTAAAATACTACGAATATGAATATTAAAATGGAAAAACTTGATAATTTGCATACCAGAAAAATTCATGAGTTAACCATGACAAAGGATATTTTTATAGATACAACGATAAATTCTCATGAATGCAGACCTTACCGATCTTTAGGAAATTATGTTAAGTATACTCATTTTGTAGTCAATAATACCATCAGCTTTGCCACACCAACAAATGGCATTCTTAATCAGAATATAAAAACACTTGGATACAAGTCAAGAGAAAACAACAAAAGCAATGTAGAATACGTCAAACTATATTACCAACTTATTTAGAGAGTTTCATATTTTTTTTCAATAAAATTTTCATATGATATCTACACTTATGGGCAATAGTCTTCCTCCTCCAACATTCTTTTCTTATGGAATTTCTTTGATATCAGTTGTATGCTACTTACAAGGATGGCTTGAGTACTTCATTTTAGTATAGTATATGATTGATAGCAATTTGCTTCAATGCACAATATATGTCTTTCAATATAATAGAGCAACAATACAAGTGAGTTGGTTGAAAAAAATTTTCACGAATGGATTACCTCTTTTCTTTGCTGTATCTGCTAAGTGTTTTACTGGTTTGAATAATTAAACTCTTTCCATTGTGCGCTCAAAGCTCTCTCAAGAATACGGTATTGTCAATAACTACAAATGCGGATATAAAGTAAAACTAATAAAACATTCATCAACTATCGAAAAGGAGATAACCCAACCATGAAGTATTCAATCCACCAACTTACATGTAATATTGCTCGATTGTATTCAATGACGTACATTCTTCATTGAAGGCGGCCGTAATCAATCCTAAACAATACTAAATTCGTATTGAAGACATTCTTATAACTAACATTCACTAGCAACTGATGAAGCTCGATATGAAAAAAAACGAGAGAAATAGGAGAACGGTAGACTTTGCCTACGAGTGTAAATAAAATGATTTTTGTTTTGCAACTGTAGCGAAAATGTTAGTTTTATAGATGAATTTTCCCCATTCAACAGAAATTAATAGACCTCTTGCTAAAAAATCAATGTTTTTTATTTTTATTGTTGAAGGATTATTTCGAGTCATATTACCGAAACATGTTTTCTCTGTATTTCGGTTCATTATTGTTCATCATAGAGGTATATCAATTTGTTTAAATATTCTCTCCATTAATAGATTCGTCTCCTTGTTCTGTATATGCTAAACAAAGGATGACATCGTTCTTCTGCGGTTGTATCAAAATCAGATTTAATACAAAAATATAAACAAAAAAAAATGATTATTTATATCCTTTGTCAGCAAGTTCTTGTCGAACCCGAAATAAATAGGTCGGATCTGGATAAGCAAAACTAAAAATATTAAGAGTTTTAAAGAAAATGTGAAGATGAACATTGTTTTTCTTACCGTTCAGGTCCACCGTGAATACTTGTTTTATGATGAATATCATTCCATGTAATAACGTTATCTTGACCACTGGTTGTTGATCTTCCAATAGTAAATATATGTTGATCGTCAAATGCTTTTCGTAATAAACGCAATACTTCTTTTCCTTCTTCATTATTTGGTAAATAAGCGTTACGTGTTGTTCCAGAGTAGGGTTTACCAGGATTTGGATTAAGAGGACCTTGAAGACCAGCTTTAAATGTATAAATTATTTCAATAGTTGGTTGATCAGATCCATAATTTTCATTTTCAAATCCAGGTAATGGTTTGTTTATGTATTTAACTATCATGCGACCATTAGGTGGTTGAGGACCTTAACAATGATAATAATCAATTTAACAGTTAGATCTTTATTTATTTATGATACCTTTACTTATACCATAGACATATCCACAACTTGGACAAGATTGTTTTCCATTAGATTGAAACCACTGATCAATACAGACTTTATGAAAAACATGACCACATACTTCAAGTTTATGATATGATGAGCCCAACTGTTCCAGACATATCATACAATCACCGATCTCTTCCTTTGTTGACGACTTAGTTTTATGCCCTTGTGACAGAACTGGACCTATTTAAAGATACAATAGAACACTTATTCTTCTGATTTCAATAAACGCAACCTATATAAGAATCTCTTTACTTAAAAAAAAACAAGATTGACTCACCCATTCTACCTGTTTTTAATCGAAATATAAAATTTTTTTTTCGTATCTAACGGGAAAGAAAAACAAAACACTTCATGACTCATATCATCACAATCGTTCGAATGAAATGAAAAAAAATAAAAAGAAAGGGATTATTCAGTGATCTCAAATATAATTCTGAAAAGGACTAACCTACGACATGTTGTTTGTTTTCAATGTCCATGATGAATGGATCAACTTTACTGAATGATGCATTACTGTTTATCAAAGACTTTTGGGCTTCTTCAAATTTCATTTCCCATATATGACATACGTAAAGAATACGTTGAGAGTTCGCCGAAAGATCACGATAAGACACCTTGTTCCATGAGGGTAACTTGCGAAATTGACATAAATTACAACCTTCTGCATAGCATTGAGAGCAATGTTGATGATTTTGAGGACATTTGCGTGTTTTATCACTGGGATTCATTCCATTGCAACAGACTAAAATTGAATGTATTATAAAATTTGTCTATCAAAAATCTCAATTTTTTTCATTAAATATGGATTATTAAAATCAATCAGAATGAAAAATTTTAAACCATTTATTAATTATCATCTAGCAAAAATTTGTTCAGGCTGTTTTTCTATTCGTTGGTAAACAGTTTTTTTTGCTTGAATGTTTGGAATGATCTTCTCCTTATTAAGGATAAGATTAGATCTTCAATGAATTTTGATTTAGTATGTTTTTATGAAGAATAAAATAATATCTTCTATGCTTCAGACTTTTTTTATTTGTTCCAGCAATGGTATTGTTTTTTTCTTACCAGAACAGATTTTATTATCACGTATAAATTGTGCTCCATTTATATACCAGCACATTGGGCAATCCGATTGACATAGTTTATCGATAATAATACATTGTTTACAAACTCTATGTGTACAAAACTTTTTTAATCCGTCACGAGATGTTTGCTGAGAACACCATGCACAAGTTGAAGCAGAGAAAGAAGCAGCTGGATACATTAAACTTATCTAAAACATTGCAATGTATTCATAAAGATATATCGAACTCAATATCCAAAAGAAAAAAAAACCAAACAAAATATAAATTTATACAAAAATGTAAAAATTTAAATAATCTATCGCAGAGTTCATGAGAAAAGTGCAATTCAGTTATCTGCATTGATGTATTTAAAGATTCAAGATGTGTCCGTTTTGATTCTTCAACACAAAAAAAATTATTATTTGAACAGGAAACAAATTCAATGTTTAGTATGTTTTATAAACTCTCAGTAGAATTTATTTCTCATTATTCTATACAGATTATCATTAAATAAATCAAACTATCAGTATCAGAGTGTCGGTATGAGATATGGCATGCAGGATTATAGGCAACAGGATGCAAGAAATGCCTCTACACTTCATTTGTCTAAAAGGATAAATCGAGGGAACATGGACAAAAAGCGTTCTCATAAGACAAAAAACGCTTTTTCTGCTGATGTGCACGCCAATAGCCGTTAGAAAACTACCTTAGAAAACTTTATGCTATGCTACTGGCATAGTGTCATTGTGGGTGCGGGTGTCGAGTGTGGGCGTGAGTATGAATGCTATAATTAGGAAGGTCGACACCCACATCCTTAACTATTGAATCTTTTAAATTGTATTACTGAGCTTTTTAGAATATTTGCTAAGCTTAAATTAGATTTCTACTGAGTCAAACCTACAGAACGTGTAATAAAAAATGTACAGAGCATTCATTATAAAACACTAAGCAATTAAATACGAGCCAATTAAAAACTGAAAAAGAATTCTATTTTACTTAGTTCATTGTAAATTTGACAAACATACGTATAATATGAACAACAAGGTTATCGCTTGAACCAATGTTCAACGCAAGTTAAAGGAAAAGGATGTTGATATCCATCAAGGATTTTCATGTGATAATTACATAGGAATCGAATATAATTCATAATCAATTTTAATATATTGTACACTTCCATATAACATCAAATTTTTTGAATTCGAGTTAAATGTTGACGATTCGATAACAGAAAAGAATTCTTTTTGAGTTTCTTTACGAAAGGAGTATGACATATATTTTACATAGTTTATTATTTTAAGCATTGGTATGACCTACCATTCCACTTAATAGTGAATACAATCAGAACACAATTTTTTTTTATTATTTTTTCCACAAAATCATACTAATACAAAGAATATAATTGTTGACATGCATGATTATTTAAATGACATAATAAACATAATCTGTCTTTCAATATTTTCAGATTGACTATGCGTTATTTTTGTTTGAAAATCTTTCAATTCTACACTATAAATAATCAACGTGGGAAAAAAAGAAAAGATAAATCTATTTTTTTGGTATTTCATGGAAGCACTAATAAGAATATTTGCTTCTCAATCAATCAATAATTAACACCATCTATCGCGTATTTTAGTATAAATGAATATATGAAAAAAAGAGAACAAGCAAATAATTGAAGAAAAAAAAAAAGAAAAACAAAGTTCCTTTTTTCGCCTCCTGTATACCGGTGGAAAAAAAATTCAGAAACGAACAAGTTTCACGTCGACAGTGATACTTTGTTCAGAAATACATTTGAGTTTGTTCAAGAAGAATTGGTTTTTCTAGTTCAAAAACTTGCTTCTCAAGAATGTATCCGAACCAGAGACTGAAACAAATAAGAAAGTCTTCATTCGGATCCCATTCAACCAGTTTTCTATTTGTATTCATTCGATTCAACTTACTTTTTCAAAAACTCCAATAGACTCAGTTCGACTCACATTACTACAGAAAGACGTTTTTCTGAGTTTCGCACATGTTATCTACTAATGTACTTTCTCTCTAATGCTTCTCTCTGAGAAGACTACTTATTTTTCTATTTCCTTATTCTTAGTCACCTTTTGTATATTGGATCTATTCATATATATTCACAGATCATTGACTTTTTTTAACAAAAAGTTACGTACAACGTAGATGTTATGCAATCAAATTAATTACAACAGTTTTATATTAATGAACTCGAGAATGATAATATAGTTGGCGCTTGAAAGATTACAGTTTCAATCCGATGAGCAAAAACTAAAAGATGATAGTTAGTCGTCTATCTATTTTTTTCATAAAATCACATATAATCCGTAATTTGCTCGTTCTTATCAAACTGTGATGCCATATATTTCTACTACTTCTGTTTTGATAGTTTCATTTTCTTTTTTTTATGATTGGTTTCTAATCTTGAAAACAAATCAATTAAAGACTTGTCCATCTGATTCGATTTGATTTGGTTTCAGTTTTTGGTAATCACTCGAAGTTTGAGACAGTTCTAAAGAGGATTTCTATAAAGGTCAGCAAAACCTTCCCATTATATGATAAAAGTAGTCAAAACCAGGCAGAATATTTTCGTAGAAGTTCTTTTGTTTTGTTTATTGACATAAAAATTGTATCAATTTCCGTAATCAAATGACATTTGGTAGGCATCTCATTCAACCTTTATAACACTTTATGACGATTCATCTTTATTTCATGAGATTGAAAAATATTTGAAATAAAAGAAAAGTTTTGGTCTGATCTGAAATTCTACTTTTGCGATTTTTTGTTTATTTCATAATCGTTCTAAATTATTCTTCAAGTTATTGTAGTGGTATGCAGGTAACTGCCAGATTTGAACCTAAACAGATGATTCCAATAATCCATGAAGCTGTCTGATAATCAGTTCCGAGAAATCGAAAAGCTAAGCTGAATAAAATTCCGCCAACGTTGCCAGATGCTCCAGTGACACCTGAAACAATGCCAGTAAACTTTGGATGAATAGCAGGAACCAAAGAAAAAATGGCTCCATTTGCTGCCTCCATGAAAATCGCTAGACCTGTCATGAGTACAATCAAATGATAAATCTTGAACTTTGCGAATCCGATCCACATAAAGAAGACACCTTGTACAACTCCAAGAAAGATTAGCCACCATTTCTTTGCAGTAAGTCCTTTATGTTGATAGAGTACATCAGATATATATCCTCCCAAAGGTCTAGTAACAATATTCAGGAGTCCAAATATAGCAGCCCAACTTCCAGCTGTTTGGGAATTCCAAACAATACCATCTTGAATTTTAGTTGTTTGAATATAAAAATCAGAAATAATTCCTTCGACAGAAAGTTCAGAACCAAATGAACACAAATAAGGAAGTGCAACTAATAGAGTGCGCGATGAAAAGACGATTTTCAATACATCTACAGCTGATGGTGCTCGAAGAAATTCGTCATTAACCGCAACAGTTCGACTACTAGTCGATTGATTAGGTGCCTCTGATATGTCAGTCATTGCTGCAGTTTGTGGACCAGAGATAAATTTCATGTCTTCATTTTTTAAGTGAGAAGATGCTTCAGTCATTCCAATTCCTTCGTCATTATTCATACGAAACTCAGCTTCATCAAGAATTTGAGTACAATCGGTTTTAGGATCTTGGTGAAAATTTCGACTGCTCCACGGTCCATTTGGAGTATCGTGTCCAAAGAAAAGAGTAATGGTAGCAACACAAATAATGATGACTAGGGGACACATTGGAAAAGCAATACGCCATGCCCAATATTGACTTATGCCATTATTGTTCATGAGCGAAGATACAACTGCTGGCATGAGAAAAAATGTAACACCACCTCCGGCATTGCCCCATCCTGCAGTTAAAGCATTTGCTAGTCCAATAATATTTTTGTCGAAGAATTGACTTGTCCAGACTTGACATGGAACAAAAGTTCCTCCTAGAATACCGACAAAGAATCGTATTGCAATTAATTCGGAAGCATTGGTAACAAATGGTGTTAAAGCAGTTGGAATGGCCCCACCGAGAAGACAACCAATCATGACATACCGAGGACCATACCGATCACACAAAGGACCGACGATGAAACGTACCAGAAAAGTTGCCAGTAGTCCCATTATATTTGAATTTGCAACTTGTGCATGAGTAAGTTGAAGATCTTCTTGAATAACACCATGAATGAGAGGTGGAAAGGCGAACCACGATAAAAATGCAACAAAGAATCCGATCCAAGACAAATGAAATGTTCTGCCATACTTATCGATAATGTTTAGTAAAGGAAGAGTACGAGATTTGTGATTAGACGGATTAATATCCGAACGAAAAAGATTTTCAACGAATCGCATACGGTTGGTTATTATAGATACTCCAAAATAGTGAACCTATGGATAAATAATACTTTATTTCGAACTCTAAATATTGAATATTCTTCAAATTCAGATCGTTCACACCGATTACTAGTACGCATTCTTGATCCGCTTATAAGTAGGTACAGTTTCACATTAGTGAATAATTCATCAAATAGAAGTTTTCGAATACATATTTTCGTAGGGGTGCTGTTAAATTTACCTCAGAATTCTATACTAAATAGCTGCACTATGTTTTCTGAAAAAGAGCAAAAAAAGTACAGCGACTTTGTGCTATAAATTTGTGTACTTTATGCTTCATATGAAAGGCACATGTTATTTTACATACATACATAGATGAAGAGATAAGAGATTGCAGAGAGAAGAAAATCATTCACTTCTCCGATATATCCCCAGATGCTATAAAGAATCAGCAATATCATGAGTATGAAAAAAAATAGTACTTTTGCTACGAAAAGAAAGATATGATAAATGTACATTTAAGTTAGCAATATTACAGTGACCGTTTGTTTCAATCTGTAATCACAAAGAATGGCCTAACGGCAAATTTATTCTACAACCGGTATCATAATTAAATAGATTATAAAAATTTTTATAATGGAATATCTCATAACTGATAAAACTAATGACATTAGAAAAGCCTTTGTATTGTTCAAAATTAATCTGTTATAATAGTATACATAGGATGTTTTACAATTATATAAAGATATGTGGGCGTCAATTAATTCAGACCTTTTCACAATGTTTCATGTTTGACTTAAGTTTACATACCAAAAAGCAAACTTCTCGTCGTCTCACGTTTAGGTCGACTTGAAAATCATCAAATAATTATCAATTGATTTCTATTGCCGTTGTGATAATGTATGAATATGCACGCGTAGTATCATCAGGCGCTGTGTATGTAAATGAAATAATTTGAGCACGCAATTTTCTTTCGTTCTGACACCTGTATGAAATGTGGCTCACCATTTTCCGCATCATTTCTTTTTGCCCTACTTTGTCTTATTCAAGGACTCTCATTTATAATTGTAATGAAGTAAAATATTTTCTTTTGAGGACAGTCGCATAGGCAAGTTTAATTATGAATCATTCAATACAAAACAAAAAAACAAAACATCAGACAAGTAGCGAAAATATTTTACTACATTTTCTAAAAAAGATCGTCACAAGGCAGTGAAAAATAGTTTGTGCAGCTCACATTTTCTTTAAATAGGCGTTTGAGAAAGAATATCTAGCCAGTATCGTGATATTCTGAGCAATGACAATAAATTTCGTTATAAGTTGATCGAAAAAGTTTTATTACTCCAAATGACTGCAACAATTTTTGTAATCTTCATTCAATAAAATTTATTGCATATTTAAAAAGGAATGGATGCATAGGAAAAGAGAAGATCTTCAATAATGTACGATTGTATAATAAAACAAATCACTGTTTTTTATTCAGTACATAAATCTGCTACTTTTCTATGTTTCTAGATGTGAACATAATTTTTTAGAACACTTAGCATCTACAACTTCGTCACCGACACAATTTTTTCCCTTATCAAACATCACGGATCATCACCAATTAGTTTTAACCCTTAAGAGCCGAAGTGGCTTCTGCTTATAGAAATGAGAATCTAATTAGAAAAACAGAGATTATGGACCCTCAGTATACTCGTACTAGAGTTAAAAATAATTACCTTCTTCTTATTCTGGACCTACGCAACCTCCTTTGGCAGGAATATCCATCACTGTAAAAATTCCAAAAAATAGGAATTTCGATCTGAAACTTTGCCGCTAGATAGTTTTGATAATACTTAATATGCTCCGAAATTCTCACTTAGACCGGATGCTTTCTTGCTGAGATATTCAAAATCCAAAAACCAGCTAAATTTTGCTAAAAATTGCTAAAAACTTCAATATTCTGTATCTCGCGAAAGAAACAACAGTTGTTCCTGAAAATGTTGAAACTTCCTAAACACTACTAGGGCTATGTATGAGCCAAGTTTCATGTTAGAAATACATTGTTTTGATTCTTCTATGAGGCTGAATGTCTCACCGAAGGAATTTTTTATTGATCACGACACAATCTGTCAGTAGATCGGTTAAAAGATTCTAGAACGCTGACATTGAATAGCTTGGTGATAGGCTTAAGAGTGTAACATAAAATAAACTACACTGTATGTCGCATCTCCGAATAGATACAACTTTAGGGAAGAAAGGTGCTATTGAAAAAAGTTATCAGACCAAAAAGGTGTTTTGCTACGCCTGACAGCCATCTGAATACTACGTTTTGGTCTAGGTATGGCCTCGAAAGTCATATCACTCCAGAAAAATATTGGTTTTTGTCTACAACATTTTTATAAGACTTTGATTACAATTATTTAAATGTCCCTTGGAAGGGACATTCGGCTCTTAAGGGTTAATATAACTGAAGCTTCATTAAAACATAAGACCTTGAATTAAACGAAATTTAACAAAACTAAATCATGTAAAATTTATTGATAAAATGGTAAAAAAATACAAGAATCGTCTTCTCAGTGGATTGGAGGAGATGTTAGATCATTTAGTATATTAGATTACTCTGGTAGTAAAAATTCTTGAGAAGAGTGCTTTTGTTTAGGTAAGAAGTCACAAATATATATTATGCATATAATCCTCTTTTTTTGTCTTTTTTCAGGCTACATATGATACATTTGATATCATCGAAGTATTGCGTAGTAAAAACAACATTTTCTGAAACATTGTACTATTTAATGATACTTTACGAGCTCAAATAAGACAGTATTATCATTGCCTTTGAAAGAAATTCCATTTACGATTTGTCCACATTATTCGACGACTCGTAACAAAAGGAGTCTCATCTAAGTGCTAGTGGAACATTGTTTGATCATGATTATTGCTGTAATTCAATGAATCTTTGTTGAAATTCTTTCGATTATGAAAACAAAAAACAACAGCTGTCCATCCTTTTGCTGAAAAGTCTTAGCCATGCATATGGACGATATTGTTTAAGTTTTCTTTCTTGATCTATTGATGTATTTAATATGCTTAGGAAAAACAGCGATATTGTAAGATATAATGAGATGAAAAAATTTCTTGTTTGTCTGGGTATATGAGTGAAGAGCACAGCCATTGTACCGTTGTGTTCCGCAAAGAAAAATGCTTATAAGTCGAGATCCGCTCAATCGATTTTAATAAATTTTTTTTATTTTACTGGTCTAAGGATGACCATTCAGTTCTGAAAAAATCAATTTCCCACGTGTTTTAGTTTCCTAGAAATCATAGCAAGTGTTAAATACCTAGCTTCTAATGCCACCTGTCAGAAGAAAACCAATTTTTTTTATTCCATTGCTTTTTTTTACAATTAATTTTGCAGTTAGAGTTGTAGTATTATTCATCAAGAGCTTTTAGAATATGCCTTTATTTTTAGCTTTAGAGAAGGTCTTATGAATGAAAAACTGTTGATAATGGGCGTTGAGACACTTTTTCATTTTTGCGTAGGGCGATATTAAAATTATTGGCGTTTCGTTTGGAGAAATTGTTTTTGTTGTAATTTGGTTGTATATCAGAGAGAACTAAGATAAAAATAATTTGAGAAATAAAAGAGGTTTGTTCCATAAAGTTCGTTAGTGCAAAAATTTTATATAAGATAAAAAAAATGAATTTTAGACGAAATGTAGGGCGACATTTTTAATTTTGTTTTTGCTATAGCTCAATGAATACTTAGCTGTTTGCAACAAAAATTTGATCTTTGTTCAGGATCATAGAGTAGAGTAATACTCCAAAAACTCAATTGAAAATATCGCTCCGTTCTGAAGAAAATTCAATTTTACTAGAAAAGTGTAGGGCGACATTTTTCGAAGCAATGATTCACTAAAACTGCTTGATATATGAAAATAACATATATGAGCTAGCTCTGTGCCAAGAATTGTTTCATACTAACGTGTATGATATAATAAACATTTTCTGAATATTTTCTTCAAAAAATCATTATTTTGAAGTAAAAACCATTATCATTGCGTTCACTTAGTTTTATATCGTGAATCTCCACAACAACACAAGGAAGTGTTGGGAAAATATTATTTTCATGTACAATCGACATCGCTCTGTCAAACGCAACACTTAGTTCTCTCTCATTATTAAATTTATTTTTATCAATTTTTTTGCTTAAGCGGTACAATGGCTGTGCTCTTCACTCATATATCTGAGAAACATAAAAAGGTATTTCGTACATATTTTTGATGCGAAATTTTTTTTAATATACATGCATCAAGATCCATTGATGTCGAGATAGTTTTGTAAACATCGACTTAAAATAAGAATTTAAGCGGTCTATCGAAGACTTTTTCAGCTGGTTTACTTGTCTAAATTCAGAATTTTTTTTTATTGTTTAGGTATTTTAAACGTAGTGTGAACTTTATGCAATCAAGCTGTGGACTGATCCTAACTACATCTGCGGTTGACGTAGCAGTTTCGTTTGCGTTTTCAAACTTTTCGAGTCGATTTTCTGTGTCGAACGCCGAATAAACAATATTATTAAGATATCTCTTTTACGAAATAAAAAGCAAAAATAAAAAAGTGCTAGAACAGCTGTTGTGGCTGCTATCACAGATATACTTAATGCAAATTCAACTGCAAAAACAGCATCTGTTTGCCACGTTAATAATAATTATAAGTCTTACACTAATGACAGTTCCTTGTCAACTGAAGATGACTGTGATAACACAACTGGTTAATCAGCCATTTGAAAAAAGTTTTGACGAATGGTTGTTATAATGGAACATGAATGGTTATTTTATCAGGTGAAAAATACAGCTGATGAAATTCTACTCCTAATTAATTATGTCCTTCAAGTTTTAAAAACGTACATGAAGATTCTCAAATATCTGAAAAAAGTAGATATGAATCTTAGAATATTTGTCTTTCATATCAATTTATGTCAAAGCAGAAGTTGGTAGTACATTACACCAATCGTATATTACTAAATAATGATTCATATTACATATCTTATAGAGTATATTAAAATTGATCAACACAACCAAAAGTTTGGTATTAGCTATGAGACAGTAATTGTTAACACATGGTTTAGATGAAACAACGATTAAACAATTAGTACTGACTTTTAAAAAGTTTAAACATATTATGACACTTGTCCAAACATGAAACTGAGCATAGTTACCGTTAGAAGATTCACCTTCTTATTGTTATTTTTCTTTTCCTCTTGCCTCCTACTAGATCTTCCTTTTATGTTGTATAACCTTGATCACTCTTTATTCTTTTTGTCCTTAAGTTTAGCCGTTGATATGTTTTTTCTGTAGCAGTACGGAGAAATATAGCTATATGTGTGTGTGCGGATATTTTTGGTTTTTGAAATAAAATAAAGAAAAAGGTCTAACATCAGACCTCTAATAGTTACAGATAGTTTTATTATGCAGTTTGAGGTTTATAAGTTCTAAATGGTATTACGAATCATTAGTTTATTAAAAAAACACACTTTCTATGGATCAAATGAAAACAAAATCGATAGTGACGAATTAGGGGACAACAAAAATTATCCATTAGAAGATTTGTACAAAAGAAAAGGTTTTAAATAAAAAGTTTTCTTCAATGAAAAGAATTACTTGCTGTAATTTTGATACTATCCAGGTTTGAATTCTACACTTCATTCTTTTTTTAACTTATCAAACGCAATTAGGTGTGGGTGTTGGTGTGGATCTTCTCTGCGCGCACGCCCATACCTATACTTACACCTTAAATAATAGAAACCTACTACATATGCAGAAAATAAGGCTGCTTAAAAAAGAGTTTATAAAACCAAACTAAATTTTTTTGCATGATTTCAAATATTTATTGACATCAGTTATGTAAAACATTCATATGGTCAAACTATTATGTTCGTGTTCAAATTCATATAGATGATGGATAAATTCTTCTAATAACATCGTAAAATTCCTTGGTGTTGCACGATGAAGCTACCAGCAATACTAGAACGAGCATATTGTTTTAGTTTAACTGCTTTTTTTGTAGAACATGATAATAATAATATATAAATGCACAATACGCAATACATTAGCGCAATCAGTCAAACAGTTTTACTTTGTTACTCTTTTATCAGCAACTTTTTGCAATAAAACAAAGAAAGATTTTAAAAGTTTAAGCCAACTGGTATAGACAAAGTTGTCTTCATCTGCCCGTAAGAACTAGTCTACTGGGTCGATCTTCTATCACTACCGATTAAAATTCTGAGTTACACGATGAAAGAAGCACTGCTGAATTATTAGGAACTGAGAGACGTTGCGACTGAAAATTTTTGTCATATTTTAATGACTATAGAATGATGCCTAGAAAAAAAAAGAATGTTTTTCAAATACATTTGCACTAAGTTGATTCATCAAGGATCAATAAGATTTTTTGAAAGAAAAGTACGATTATCAGCGTGACGAGGATTTGTTTTCAGCTCAAAAGTTGATGTTGTACGCCATTAGGAATGAAATTAAAGACTTTGCTAAGCAATTTATCACTGAACCAAGTTGGAGACAGATATAAGAGGTAAAATATCACTTTGCCTTGCCAACCTGGCCGATAGCGAATGTGAGGCTTGGAATTCATCACTGCATGCTGAATAGCTCGTACAACTCTAGAAGGATCATCCGCATTGATCATAAATGGACTATTAATCGCCTTTGTAATGATACTATTTAAATAACTAATTCCCCAACGTTCTTGTACATCAGTTGGAAGTCCATTCCATACATTTCTCAGTGTATCTTCATACCCTTCAAGCATGGGTGTTCGCAATGCACCTGGCTCAATTATGCTAACACGTAAATTCCATGGAACCATTTCACGACGAAGACAATCCGAGAAAGATTTTAACGCATGTTTAGATGCTGAATACGCGGATGTATTGGGAAAAGTAAAGAATCCAGCTGCAGAAACTACATTAACTACACGTGAATCACATTTAGTGATGAGTAAAGGCAGAAGCTTCTTTGTCAGGGCAACATGTCCAAAGAAATTTACATTCATCAGTTTACGCATCATTTCCATTGAAGTTCAATCGATACAGCCATGAGTAAGAATACCAGCATTATTTACTAAGGCATGGAGAGTGTTAGTTGTTTTTTTGACTAAATTATAGGCAGCATCAATATCTTCTTGTTTGGTAATATCTAGACGAAAAACAGTCGCTCTCGATGAAAGTTTTGTTTTCAATAAGGCCACATTGTCCGAAAACAACACACCAACGAAGACGTTAAAACCTAGTTGGTCAAGTTTCATTGCTAATGTATGACCGAGACCAGTGTCACAACCGCTGATGAGAACATACTTACTCGTTGAATCTATTTCAGGTGAAGGGAGAAAATATTGATATAAACAATAAGTCAAATACAATATTGGGATGAAAATAATGATCAGAAACATAATGATCTATAAATGAGAATACAAGCATGAAAAAGATATTTTTTTTCTTAGTTGATTGCAATATCAAGAAAATATGAACCATTATACGTTGTCCATGTACGTTAGCCTAAAATGAATCTAAAAAGAATTTCTTAAAAATTAATATCCATGAAACAGATTGATAGTCACCGCTTAACTGCTGCATATCAAGCTCTAGCAAATTGTCTAACAATTAACTCATTAACAATTAACTTTAAGTAATTGCATGAGGCAGTTTTGAGTTTTTCTCTACGCCAGTATAGAAGAAACGATGATGATTAGATCGATTGAGAGCTTGGATAAAAGTTCTGTCTTATATGACCCAAACAAAACTGTGTTTTGTCCATGCTAGTGTCGCGAAACATTCAAAACTACCCAACACAATCGCTTAAAAAATATTGGTTTCAATTAACATGTTGTTTGAAACTATTGAAATGGATGACCATCGCTTCTTGTTAAAGCTTCGTTTTCAACAAATGATTATTCTACAGTATGATAAACTGGCAAGGATATTGAAAAATTGTTGATCAAAATTCAATAGGTAGCCCATGATCAAATTTCGAATCATAGCCACTGATCTACGCATATTTTCGTTGGGATTGATGCTTGATGTTGTAAGAAGTATGGATAGCAACAAGGGAACACACGATAAGCTAGCAATATCAAGTAACAAAAACATGGTATTTATTAAAAATACACAAAGAAACTTATATATCTATATGTGAGTTGCGATGTAACCATATATCAGCGATAAGCATCAAAAACTCACGTCGCAAACTATTCTATATGGAAGAACAGTATAACACGTGTCTTGATATCAACCTTTGGGCAACTTTCTTCTCTTTGTTTCATACTTCGCTTTGTTTGTCTCTGTGCGCATCTTTTACAAGTCATATATAGCTTATATTAATCAATAGAATTCTTGGTTAGCTTACTACTCTATTTTCACACTCTTATCAGCGGAATAGAACGTACAACATTCAGAATTTGAAAGAAATATATCATGATCAAAGGCTGGTGGTCAAGTAAAATTTATTATTTTGCATATTAGAGTGATTTTGTCACTCTAATTTATACGTGTTAATATGCAGATCCATCTTCCCAGCTAACACAATAAGTAACGTAATAGACTGAGTTCATGGTATACTCTGCTAAAAGTTTTACAGTGACTGAATCTAAGCATGGCAAGAGAGTTCATTTGCACTATCGTTTCAATCAAACATAATACAAATAAATTGACTTCCTGCGAATAAAATATTATAACTGTTACAACAGAATCCCAAAGTAAACAACATTGCTTTCATTGTCAAGGTTCTTATGCCGAAAGAAACAGTTGAAAAAAAACTTCTTGCCTGTACGCACCTTTCAGTTGGTTTCAAAGTCGCAAATTTTTTCAATATATCAACTGTTATCGTGCAATAGTTTTACTCGGAAAATATTCTACTTGCACTCCAGTTATTAATCATCCTTGCATACATGCTATTTGATAAAGGATAGATCTGAGAAAGACTTATAAAGCGCAAAAACCGTCCTATGGATTCGGATGGTATATTGCAGCTGGTTGTCTAAGGCAGGTTTTCATTCGAAAGGAAAAATTACTTTTATCAACACAATTTATTGATTACTTTTTCAAAACTTTATTGCACATCCAGCAACATAATACAAATGAAATCAGTTAGGACTTTTTCAAATTAAAAATGACTTTGACTCTTGAAAAATATGAAACGTAGTTTCGCATGGAAATGCTTTTATGAAATTCGTTTTGCACAAAATCGTTCTTCTACTGAGTTCCTATCAGTGATTGTTTGGTTTTACACTTCGATTACTTCGTTAAAAAATGAAGAGCACAAAAATTTTCTCCATCAACTGAATCAGTAATAGAAATAAATCTTGGCTAGTTCCATTAAAAAAAAAACTTTTTATCGGTCGACTTTCGATATATCCCACAATGAAACTAAAAAATGTTGAAAACAAGTTAATATTCATTCGATAAGAGTATAGTGAGAACTAATTTTCGAAAGGAAATAGTTATGTTGTTTCATGCCGATAGAAGAAAGTGGATTTGATCGCTGAGATTGATTTCCATTGAAATTGACGACATCTCTTCATAAGACGCCATTCAAAACATAAAAACGAATATTTTGAAAGCAAATTTGTCACATATAAAAAAAAATGCAAAGAATTTATTTCTAATTTCCATAAAACATTGAGCAGACACGGGTTTACAGGAGAACTGAGTCAACATACCTTCCAAATTAAAGGACTTTGTTTATGATACATGCGCAATCTAAAAAAGTTATCGTAATTCTGGAGCACTTTTGGCTCAACTATAATGCAAAGTTAGTTTGAAGTAAAACTTTCAACCATTGTAGATCTCAGAGTTGGTAATTATTCCGATAAGTTTTACTATTATTGGTCAAAGTTACGTCTTACTTTGTGACTCTATTAAATAAGTCTTTTCGTGACTTTTAACAAACTAGAAACCGAGTCGACACTTTAGCCGATTACCTGTCGGATCGGATTGAACTTCTACAACTGACCAATTTTCCTGTGATTTTTCCACTTTTTTATAAAATTTTTCGGACACTGCAGCTAGTATATTATGCTTTTTTTATCGATTTTCAGGTGCGTCCTTCTATAGATGACCTTAGGTCTCCATTTATATTTGAACCTAGTAAAAAATTGTTACGTAGAAATTATATTGAAGTTGTTCTTGCCTATACTACAATTTGAGCGTAAGCTGCAGCTAGACAGCAATGTCATCTGTTTATAAGACAATACGAAGCTACACGCATATATGGAGTCAACGGCATAGTGCAAAGAGTATTTCATAAGCAACCACAAATGGTCATTACACAGGTTTGACCTGAATGTGCTGGCTTATAATGAATGGGACCCTATCGCAAATAATACGCAATAAAATTAAATTTAAAAGTATAGTTCATTAAATGGCGAAGTACGAAAATGAATTTGTCGTGTGCTGAAAAATGATCTTGTTCACAGCGTCGAAACTTAATCAAAGAGAATTTGAATTATGCCGAAAACAAAGGTATGCATATATAATAAATGTTTCTTTGTAGACTATAGAATTTTTCATGCTGCATCTAGCAGTATATTTTGTTTTTTAATAAAATGTATTCGGTAATGAAAAGATGAAATCCAAAGTGAAACTATTCCTTATTGCTCACAACAAATAAAAATCATCTTACTAACATATTTTCTACTTCACGCAATATTAAAAACCTAGCAGACATTGAATCTTACCACTACGAGCATAGAAAAAGAATAATGTTTTCACCAAATGTGGAATTTTGTAGCCCACATTTGTAGAAACTAAAGCTAGAAAGACTAAAAATACAAACAGCCGACAAATACATGTATGCTCTAGAGACATTTTTACAAATACAAGTTGATATTGATAGAAAAAGTAGAATGATTTTTTCAGCTATACTGATGGATTGTTGATGGCTTGTACTTATCAACAAGCTCTGTACGTTCATCAATATCTAGAAAAGCAAATTAAAATAGATACAAGAGAACTAGCGTTCAGCTTTTAAACTTGCTCATTAAAATAGACATGTGAACTAAAAGCTATCTGTAGCTGCATGTCTATCTAAGTGGTTTTCTTGGTTTCCGACAATAATCCTGTTGAATTAACACAATTTTACAATATTTTTTTATCTTTTTTTCTCGACCAATACCTAAGACTGTATTAATTCCTGCGTTATTAGAATGCACCTTTACCTTTATATCAACTTCATCAATACATATTACTCTATGTATGAAGAACATTATGCTCTTAAGAATCAGAACTCTAAAGAAACTTCTAGACATAAAAAACTTGATAAACAAAACTTGATTTGGCAACAAGTGTAGGGGTATATAATGTTTATATATGCTATGAGAACATATTGGATGGAAGCAGAGTTTTGACTAAGTTGTACTGTAAAAACCGAATTCTAGGTAAACACCTGCATTGTATAAATAGAGAATGCTATATTTATCTGTGAGAGCAGAATTAGAGACTCTTGTTTAATCATTCTAACATTGTTAATAAGAATAAAAGAGCCTATATCACAAAATTCATAAATTCTGCTACAGAAAAATTACACCATCACTGTTTTAGTGATGATGACAGAACGCTCTTGATGGTCCAAGTGTTTCTCGATGAGTTATGCCTTCATAATCTGTGTCTATTTGAATATCATCATCAATTAGACCGTGTGAGTGGGTACCTAATTTGTAAAGCCAAAGAGGGATCAATGATGTGGAGAGATTATTTCCGTTAGCGTGCGCATGTGAACACCTATTTCTGTGGTAAGTCATTTATTCCCAATAGACACTGACAAAAATTAACCAAAAATAAATGTGGAAACTCCAGATTTAAATCCAAGTATTATGTGTACTTCAAAAAATAAAAACACAGAAGCAATTTCTGTTTAAGTATCTTTGCAATAGGTGAATTAGCCTTCTTGTTTCTTAATGTTTTATATACCATTTTGTAGCCCGTAAAATTCTCTATCGAATGGTATATAATCGCTGAAGTTCTGCTTGATTATGAGAGAAATAGTTTTTTTTACGAAAACGGGGATAGGTCAATGTTCGCA